TTGGATGAATAACTTAGACTTGTTCTTATTGATTCCTGTATCTTCAGCTATGCCTAAGAAACGAAGTCAAGTAACTGTAGATACTCTGCTTATGTTCATAAATCCCCCTTCTAATGTGGTGTGGTATACGACGTTCAATAGATGAGATAAGGTGACACTGTTCATGTTCTTGTTGACCTCACATCTTGTAAAGATTTATGCAATAATCGTAGCTAACTGATTATCGCTATTCAGTCTTTTCTCGTATCGCTATACACTTTTTGATTTAACTGTAATTTGATTTTATTGGCAATTGTATGTTTCTACTAATGGATTTATAACTTCAGGGCTTGGAAAAGGCAGAAGAGATGTAGGAAACAGTTATTCACTCAAAATTATTCATCTTCTGAATAAATTAAGGGGATATTTGAACTAATGAAATGTTTCACTTGCATACTTATAAGGAAGCAATTCTCCGGGTTAGAAATGTAACTTTTGTGCCTTCAGCTCGCATCAAATCATGATAATATAGACATTCAGTCATTTCTAAATTAGCATATATATATATATATATATATATATAATAGAATAGAAAAATCGATACCGAGATCTTCGCAAAACTTTCAGTACAGCTCACCCAAAACTTTAGTCCATATATCAAACGGAGAAAGGCAACACCTTATCATTTCTTGATGTCCAGCTAACAAGATAACAAGACGGCAGTAATAAGTGGGGTGTGTTTTCCTGAAGAAGTCATGGTTCGGCCAGTACACCCATTTTAGATCGTTTGATCCTCTTGAATACAAAAGTAATTAGATCACCATTCTTAATATTTCGTGCTAGAAAAATCTGCACAACTGATACTCTCGACGATGGAATATGGGAAAATGTCTGCAAACGGCACAGAATAAACGTATTTATATATGACTTAACAGTTTAAAGGAGACGAGGCTGCTGAATTGTTGGCATTGAAACTCCAAAAATAATACCTTCTGCATTCTTTGCCGCAACCCTCGGTTTAAAATTCACCACTTGATGTATAATTTCATTGCAGGTGAAGAATAAGCTACCACGTCTGGCCACTTCAGTGTGCATTTATAAACTCAACTGTTCATGTAGAGGCAGTTGCATATGAAGAAGAACGACTCAGGAAGCTCACTGTTACCTTCTGAAGCATTGTCTACGATTAAATAAGTAAAGGAGTTGCAAAGTCAATCAGAAGTTCTATACTGTCACACCTAGTGGATACGGAGAACAAGACTGACAAAATTCAGCTTTTGCATTTCTATAAAAGTTGCCACCTCAACCGCGTAGGTTGGTACGTCTTCGGTTGCTAAGCATAGCTGAGGCAGTCACCATAGCCTATGTTAAACCTAATTCATGTGTTCAGTTCATCTCCCTCCCTTGGCCTACACTCCCAATCTAGAACAGTTATCTCTCCCGGTGACAGCGAATAACTGTAAATATTATCTTATTATGTTTTTATTTTATTTTAATTATAATGCTTACTGTATTGACGTTATCATTCTCTGCTGTAGTTGAAAATTTTAATCTTAGTTTTAAAATTGATTATTGTTATCTAATCGCTGTGTAACAATATTTGTTTTCGTCTCTACCCCTACTAGTATACACATTCCACCTATACACTAGCTGTTGCCTAGGTTATATAAACACTTGAAGGCATTTAGCCTTTTTATAATCATTATTATTTAATGATCACCTCGGTTGATATCCAATTATTCGGTGGTATAGCGGTTTGATGCCCGCTGACCATACACATGGTCCGGGTTCGATTCCCGGCCGATGCACTCCTTTATTTCGCTAAGCCAGAAATAACGCTGTTAAACACGAATAATAATAATGATATTAATAATAATAATGGTAAAGCTTTATTTAAGACAGTATGCGAATATACAGTGCAAAAATTTTCAGCGTATTCAGTTCCAAAGTACTTTTCTTCTTCACACAGGATCCATATGTAAAGTAATAATCTGAGGTATATCTTCATTTCGTTGAAGAATTGTACAGCGTTTACTTGGGAGCAAGTTAAATCATCGCGCAAGTTTATGTTTAGGTCATTTGATATAACTGGACGATTAAAACAATGATAAATCCAGGTGAAATTAAGCATTTTAGAGGAAAGTAATTTCGGTAGCCCAATGATTTAAACAGGCCGCCTTAATAAAGAGTGGCATGAGGCTGTAAAATAAACACAGCTACAAAAACTTCAAGCCACTAGCTTGAAGCCGTATGTTCCAGTAGGGAACTTGAAGGAAAAATTCAAATCCCTTAACTCTGATCCTATATGTCTTATTAACGACATTAATTCAACTGCCGATATCTAACATTTCACAATGCAAATGTAAACCTTGGTGAGGATTTGCTGAGAAAACGTGCTATCTTTTATTAGGTTGTTCATTGGATAGATATCGCACAGTGAAACAATATCAGTGACTGAATATGGCTTATTCTCGAGCACACATTTTTATTCATAGTTATATCAAGGTGTAACTACACTAATCGAAAACTCGATTTTATAATTCTCATCTTTGGATAGTGTTATTAGAAGACGGAGATTATTATCTATGGGAGATATGTAGATGATATTATTTTGATATGTGTTGATCATGAAGATGTGAGTCGTTTATTGGATAGGCTTACATGCGAGAAAGAAAGTCGTAGCCAGCTTACATTTTGAGACATACTTCTGAGTCGAAGAGACGACGGTTCAATAAGACGATCAGTTTACAGAAAGCCTACTTTGACAGGGCAATACCTTAATTTTTACAGCTTCCGTCTGTAAAGGCATAGGAGGGGCTTGGTGAGATGCTTATTTAAGAGGATTTAGCGTATCATTAAACCTGTTGATATACGGAAGGAAATAAAATACTGATGGGTACTCTAGTTGAAAACGGATACTTTTAAAATTTTCAAACCGATTTAGAAGTCGGTTAGTTTCAAAACCTACAATCTACTCTATCCCTAAGGTAGATGTCTTCATCAAATTAACACACCATGGGAAACTAAATACTACGATTTTGAGACAGAGATTAAACTCGGTCATCCGTAGGTCCTGTTATACAGCCCGACTTGTAATCATTGAAAAATCCAAAAAATATGCTCTACCACAGACCTTAAAAGTGCACCAGTAATTATATCACACTGCACACTATTTAGTAATATACGTGTGTTTTTGACACTCGGACGTAGGGAGAGGTATTCTTGGTTGAAGAGTATATTCCGAAAAGGCTAGAAAGACAGATGAACTTTGGAAAGCTAACAGACGCAGATGGCATGCTACTTACCTCGTCTAAAGCCATATTGATATAAGTATAAAACTTGGGCACTGTGGTGGTAGAGTATAACTCCATTACGGATAAGATTTTATTTTGATAAATCACACAGTGTTGCACAGTAATATTAACTGATGACGTTTCAAGTACAAACTATTACAATAGTCTCCGCTGAAGGCTAGCCAGGGCAGTAGTAGCGGATGGACTTGCTTCTTTTGTGCACAGGGTGCTGGTTGTCTCAGGAGAATCGCGATACCCTGAATGTTTTCGGCAATTTGTTTGGTACCGAGTAGATGATAGAGAAGGACACTTCAATATGATCGTTGTGGCCAGTTTGGACCAGGTGTAATAATATGGAGCTACTGACGCTTCGCACTACACTTTTATTTAGCCACATAACGAGATGATCCCGAGCAAGCACGATAAATCTAGTTCCTAGAGGAACGGCCGACATAACTAGCTCCACCACAAGCTCAGTTGAATTGGTAGATACAATTAGAAGTGGCTAGCTAGTCTAGGAATTTCATGTTTCATTTGAGGAATAACCACTGGTATGGGTAGAAAATGAGATTTGTAGTTTGCCAGCACTAAATGTTCTTAGAACTGATTTTCTTAAATTATTCGTAATTATTTCACTAGATATATCTCCCTTGAATTGCAGTCATATGTATAAAGCCTTCTTGTTCACGGATAGTGAATAGTCCTTTTCAACTTTTTAGCCATATATTTCCTGATGAATTTGTCTGGATGGCTATTTTCAATTAAATTGTCATTTACAATGCCAAATTCATTTTGAATCACCTCTTCTGAGCATACAGTTCTAATTTTGTGGCTGACGGTCTCTACTACTGGTAGATTTCTTTTCTACTGGAGACGAACGAAGCTATGAAAATGTGTACATCGTCCTGTCCATATACTTTTCCTATCCAAGCAAACTGCCTAAAACATTCAGGTATGGCATACTCCAAACAGCAAAGGCTGTCGTGACTCGCCTGAAACAACGGGCACCCTGTATGCAGAGGAGGCGAATCTACCCACCACTACTCCTTTGACATTCATTGAAGACTATAAATTCATGAATTTGTATTATTATCTTACCTAAATTTTCTGAAATTCAGTATCTAGTGTTATGTTGATCCATGTCGAACTGTAGTTCATTGGTATCATTTTTATTATTATCGATTCGATGTTATTTAAACAATATTGATGTTGTTAATAACGCTAGTTCATTCATTCACTTACTAATATTTTTATATGTATGTAGAACCTGATGAAGACCAGGTTATCGAAAATGTGAATATTCTTTGTTCATTAACCATTCTTTTGAAAAAAGACTGAATGGGCATTTCTAAACAATCGATAAAATTAGTATCAGTGTTAAGGTGATTCGTGATTCAGTTTTCAATGAATAGATTCGTGATCAATAAGTAAATTGATAAACAAGTAACAACGTCTGTACTGTATTCTTTATTTTTCTTTCTTTTGTCTTCACAATATTTACATTTCATTGAGTATATTTATATATACATACATACATTTGTATACATCCCTGAAAATAGAGTTATCTAAAGCAGTCAGTTTTGTGGTATTGAAAAACAGGCAGAAGAATACAAGTAGGCATAATCATTTGCATATGTTTATATATATATTAATATATATATATATATATACAGGATTTTTCAAGTTGATTGCCTCATTGTGTTTCATTCCCCTCTCCCCCCCCCCCGCCCCCGACACACCAGCTACTTTGTTTTCCTATTTCCACATCTGACTTTGCTTCAAACAGTCAGTATATTATATGCAATTCGATTAGATTCCCTTCTTTGAATAAGAGATCTTTCATTTATTGCTGTGCATCGTCATTGATACATGCATTCATTCATATTCAGTTGTTTAGTATACTTTTCATCTAATTCATGCATATATGAAAGATATTTGGTATAATCGAATCCTCGGATTGGTTCCTCCTATAATTACAAGAAACCCGTAAAGAAAAGTAGCAAAGAGAGTTATTGGTATTATTGATGTAAGTATAGAAATTGGGCACTGTGGTGGTAAAGTATAACTCCATTATAGATAAGATTTTATTTCGATAAATCACACAGTGGTGTAATACAGTAATATTTACTGATGACTATGTTTCGACCACAAAGTACTGCCACTCATAATCATCATATCAAGTCACTCACACAAGTTTCTGGCTTCATTTATATACATGAGTAAAAGTTGATGATTAGACATTTGAATAAAATCAATATAAGATAAATTACATTCAGAAATAATAATATTAGTGTTATTAATAAAATACAATCAGATGGGAAATAAGATGTTTCTATAGTAAAATAAATAAGTAGCTTGTTAGAATGCTACAATGTGTGAATTGAATACAATTTAACATTATTTATTCCCTCCTCTGATTTGACTGACAGTAATAATATCTCCCATATCTCTGACATCTACAGCCTTACCATATCAGGAGGGAACATCTGAGACACTCCCTACGTAAGATTCTCAACAAAGCAGGAATTAGGATGGTATTCATATCCACAAATTAACTCTATAGGCTAAAGTACCCGGTGGACCCAACAAAACAAAATAATATATAACTTACAAAATATGTTGCAATGACTGTGAGTTATGTCAACTCCATTGGTCATACTAGTAGATCAGAACATAAGAATCTAGCTAGGGTTAGAATGGTTGACCGTACAAAGATAAGTAATTTAGAAAAAAGCTCAGCTATCGCACTGCAAGCTATAACACACAATCACACAATGAGGTGAGTGGAACAGAGTAAAAATTCTTAAAAGTAATAAAGGCAGGTAGGTGCAGAGAGACAGATTGATTACTGAATCCTACTTCATCCAGTCTACACCCAACACATACAATTGAAATAACTCAACACTAATACCAGAGGTATGGAAGATATTATTACTACCAGTCAGTCAAATCAGAGGAGGATAATAAATAATGTCAAAATGTATTCAATTCACACATTGTAGCATTCTAACAAGTTACTTATTTATTTTACTATAAAAACATCTCACTCCCCACCTGACTGTATTTAATTGATGAAACTGATATTATTATTTCTGAATGTACTTAATCTCATATTGATTTCATTCGAATGTCTAATCATCAATTTTTACTCATGTATATAAATGAGGCAAGAAAGTTGTATGAGTAGTGCCTTGATATGATTGATTATTAGGGGTAATAATTTGTACTCGAAATGTGGTCATCAGTAAATATTACAGTATAACACAGTATGATGTATCAAAACAAAGTCATAGGTATTTTTGCATTCAATCAACAGTCAACGGGATATGATCAAAAAGAATCGAAATTCATGTAGACAACTATACAGGGATCGATTGTATATTAGGTTAATCTGACTTCCTCGTTAATTGACTATGTTGGAGTGAAATACTCAGCCTGTGTTGACATATTTACTCCTAATCTACAGATTCTTCGATGATGTCATGTAATTTTGGTGGAGGGTGACTAGCAGTCGTTATCCAGGATGCGCATTTCATGGATAATGCTTTGGTTTTTGAAATGATGAGTGCCGAGTTTGACTCTCAGTGGAAATATCATCTTCACCCACTGAGAATGAAGGTACATCCGAAAGATGGGTTCTAAATAGGACGAAATTCCAATCGTGGATTCCACTGATAGCCAACCAACTAGGGGCATCTAAATATATAAGAAAAAGACGATTCATTTTCATAAGCTGCTGTAAAATCGTAATTAGATTCAACAAAGAATTCATAAGACAACCAATCAGATACTGATGAAATTTGTCCTCGAAAACGTGTTGCGTATTGTAAGGTGTAATCTAGAATGGGTGACTATTTGGAAAATAGTGAAGGGAAGAAGTCGTGATGACGTAAAGCAGTTTTATAAAGCTTGTATGAAAATCCAATGTTATTAGATAATAAAATAAGGGTGATGAGAATAATAATAATAATAAATAACAACAGTAAACTCGCATAATAAAAGGAAGCAAAGTTATAATGAGAATGTTACTCTGAACACAGTGAGGTGAAAAAATGTAGAGGTCTGCTTTCTGATCCCGAATCGCCAAAGAATCAGCTGTGTACAAATGACGTATTCGAAGTCCCCCTGTATAATACTGAGGAACTCTGTATATATATCAGACTCTACAGTTATATACATACATTATAGTGAATGAATGAATTAGTGTTATGAAAAACATTAATGCTGTTTAAATAACTTCGAATCAATAATATCGATAGATTACAGCTCAATAGCATCAACAGAAAATAAGCTGAATGTCAGAAAAATTAGGAAAGATAATATTACAAATTCATGAATTTATATTCTCTACTGAAGGCTAAGCCGGTAGTTATTCTCTACACGACCGATGATGCCACTTCGGCTGAAAGATGAAGTACCTAGACTAGATAGCCACTTCAAATTGAATCTACCAATTCAACTGAGCTTGTGATGGAGCCAGTTATATTGGCCGTCGACCTAGGAACTTGATTTTTCGTGCTCACTCGAGAACACCTCCCGGTATGGCAAAGTATAGGTGTAGTGAAAACTATTAACAGTTCAATATTGGACCATCTGGTACAAACCGGTCACAATGTCAGCCAGCGTGGAAGAATCCTTCTCTTTCATCTACCGGATGCCCTAAAAATTGCCAAAATCATCGAAGCATCACATGCTCTAAACTGCGAACGCTATCGTAATTCGCCTCAAATAACCATTGCCCTGTGTTCAAAAGAAGCAAATCCAGCCAGCCCCTACTACTGCCCTGGCCTTCAGTAGACAATATAAATTCATAAATTTGAAATATTATATTTCCTAATTTTTTCTGACACTCAATGTGTATTGTTATATTGATGCTATTGAACTGTAATCTATCAATATTATTGATTCAATGTTATTTAAACATTAGTGTTGTTCATAACACCAATTCATTCATTCATCACAATGTATATATAACTGTAGAGCCTAATGATGAAGGTTATCAAGAAGAGTACTTTTTGTTCAATATCCATTCTTTTGAAAATTTTAATGGGCACTTTTAATCACTTAATATTTATTTGTTAGGTAAGATCAATGGAATGACGGTTTACGGAAGATGCATATATTATAATAATTGTAAATAGAATATCAACTAAAATTAAGTAAATTTCTACAAACTCATGAGGACCATTCCAACCAAGATGGCCAAGGTAAGGACAATGTCTGAACTAGCTTCTTTTGGACACATAAATTAGACTTCTTAACAGGGATGACAACGTCCAGCCCAAACAATATGCAGTGGACGAACTCCTAAGGTGAAGAAGTAAAGATATGTCGATATGTGGCAGATGACTCTGAAAGTCACCTCGTTGACATCAATCTCGTGTAATATATCCCCAAGATGGCACAGAATAGCGCTACGAATAGATTTTCTTTTACTTCCTTTAATTAACCACTAGGCAGGATAATTTTCTCAGAAATCCAGCGATTCACTATAATGTAATTCGTTCGTATATCTGCTTTATGCGTATTTTGCCTTTCATCCATTTTCACATTAATTGACTCTAACTTTCTCCATCTATTTGTCGGATTAAACAAACTACAAAGGAAGTTAAGATCAGTCTATTCTAACCTTCAGACTATTTTCGAATCGATAACTCACATACGTCTGTCTATACAATATAACGTTGATACAAAAGGTCCACATACACACACACACATGAACACACATACACCACAGATTACAACACTCAACAACGCTATTTACTATCGAAAATGAAATTCCATACATAGGCGGTTAAACATCCAAAATCATCAAAAAAATGGTGGAAAGACTTAAAAAATTTTAAAAAAAACAGTAACAGACCAAAATGTAGGCAGAAGCAAGTTACTTTGTAGAAATCCGTTAAACTCTGTGAGAAGCAATCGGACAAAAAAGTATGTTGTCCAAATTCCATACTGTCATTATGTTTCCTCACTTCCTTCTCTCTAGATAAGCTTTTTACCCTCCCTGTATCATTTTTTGAAGGCTAAGTGTACAATGTAAATCTGCCTCTATAAATCTACCTACTATGAACAGTGTTGTTTTTTTTAATTCCCACAGTTGCGTTACCCTAGAAAAAAAATGTAAATTATATATGATGGAGATTTGTACCTCAAGTGAATGATTTTGATGTACTTGTGTTCTCTGAGCAGCTGGACGGTTTATTTGCAAAGCTTTCATCATCGCCATACTAGGCAACATCTTCAGCGCATACTTCCATTTGGTGAAATGAGCTTTTAGATTTCTCCACGTCACTATTAGTCATCTGTCCTGGCAGATGACCTTGAATGTGATTGCTTCTTTTTGTGTGCTTTCACACCTTTTGGGCTACTTCCATTGTTACTGATTGTTTGCTTGACCTGAATTTTGACCCTTATCGATTCGAAAACTTTATCTATCTCGATGTGTCTGTTGATTGATGTACCACTAGAATACCAGGCTTCTAAAAATTCTCTGCCTAATATTCGAATTGATTTCCGTGGTTGTCTGTATGCGGCGATATGAGAGAGGGAGTGGATGTCATGTCTTTTGAGGGCTAGTTCATGATCATGGACACAAAGACGAAGGGGACGTCCAATTTGGCCAATGTAGTGTTCTTCGTAGTTGTTATAATTTATTTCGTAGATGATGATGTTGGTTTTATCTTCTTCTTTCGTTGTTGAGTCTTTTGGTTGACATAGGACTGAGTGAAATGATTTTGTTGATGTCTGTGTGCGACGTCAATTCCTATGGGTTTGGAGAGTCTTGCAGTGACTTCTTAGATGTTCTTTATATATGGTAGGGCGATTTTCTTTGTGCTATGCTTAGTTGAGGCCTTTGATTTGGTAGGTTGACGTGAGAGTAAATGTCTTTCAATGAAATTCTGTTGATATCCATTGTTTTGGATGACGTCCATGAGATATCTTTCTTCATTTTTCTCTAAGGTGG